AGATATTATTATATTATATTATATTATATTCCACACTGGCTTTGTGGCTCCTGTGCACAACATCAGGGTGCAGTGCTTATGCTCATATCAGTTTCTAAATGTACATTACTCCCTCTTAACCAAAAAGATCTTCTTTTTAACATCTTATCAGACCCTGTATAGGAATGGGTTTTAGTCATTTCCGTTTAATAGCTGCAGGTAGCGATGAATCACTCTTCAAAAACTGAAGAAATAATTAGATGTCATCCAAGATAGTCCTTTGCGATGCGTTTTAAATATAGCCTCCATGAAGGTTTGGGAAGATTCCAGTGTTGCAAACTGCTTTGACATCACTAACGCAATCATCACATCATTTGTTTGGGTGTAGAATCCTTGCAGTATGCATGTGTATATAGCTACTACTCTTTCTCTAAAACGTACGCACACTGTATAATAAAGCATTTGTATTAACCCGTTTCCATTTACTAATTCAACCAACATTTCAGAAACCTGTCTATATGTCTATAAATGTTAAATATAAGATTAAATGTTGATTGAGCGATACATTTGCTTTGTCCGATCATTTGACCAAAGAAAAAGAAAAAAAATGATCAAATCCATAGTTGATAGGGTCAGTTAACCTTTACTCTACAAATGAAATCTTCACACCTAAATCTCTCTACAATATCAAAATTAATTGAAAAAGAACAGAGGCCATGCCGTTTTCCATTTTCTGATTAGTGTAATGCACTTTCCTCCTAATGTAATTGTGTTTCTCAGGTTGAATACCCCCAATATCACTCCATCCTATGACAGAGGTCCAGAATAGGGCTGTGACCTTCCCCTTTGTTCAAGATGTTCCTTCTATCCGCCTGTCTGTCTGCATGTCTGGCTCTGCTGGCTCTGTCTATGCTATTATTAGCACAAAGGGAAAAAAAGATGGCCTAATAGAGAGAACGCCACGTCACACAAAGGGCCTACCTCAAAATGACTCAGTACTTTCTCCCAGGCATGGAAACAGATTGAAATGTAATGCTTAATACTTCCTTAATAACTGCTATTTCACCGACAAAATATAATGTTTCTTGTCAACAAAGCATTTTTGGGTGTTACTTTCACATAAGGGTTATCCAACATACATTACCACCTACCTCAGTGTGCCATTATCTAAAACTGTGACTCATCTACTCCCCATAACGTTGGCTTAGTATTATTTTTATATTCCTCTTTTCAGTCGTATCTTTGTCTGCCTGTCTGGACGAGGGCACTCTGTCTCTCTGAGAGCTTTCATTCCCCTGAGGTACTGAAGCGCAGCAGGATGCTAGCAACAGATTCCAAGGAAACAGCAGCATCAACTCACAAATTAACATTCGGTTAACAGGTTGAAAGAGAAGGAAAACATGCATCTCCATCTGTTGCTGAGTCAAATTGAATGATTCCTAATACAAAAAAAGCTTTGAAAATGTCTTCCTATGTGTAGATAAAAGAGCTCTGTCTATTAATCAGCTAATTATCTTACCAGATATAGCTGTTTCATCTCTGTGCAAGGTCAGCTACGTGTTTAGCCTAGCTTAGCATAGTATCTTTTCTTAATATGCCTCTAATAAATCTTTACGTTGCATGCGAACAAGAGAACTATCTTTCCAGACCAATTGGATCACAAAATGTTCGTGTTTGGTCAGAAAAGAGCTTTAGACTCGTAGAAGCTTAGATTAAGGTTACAAAATAATGTGACCATCTCCCTTGTTCAGGGAATAACTGCCTGAAAATGTCTACATTCTAGTAGTAGTGTGATATAGCTTTTTTGTGTGTGTGGAAGGTCACACGCCATCACATTCTTAATGTCTGCTGAGCCAACGCCTCAGTCCAGTGAAGAGGGATGGTTTTGATCCCGAGGCGCTGGCATATAGGCGCAATTTACGGCTGTGGCCTCCTCGCTGCACGTCCTGATTCTCATTCTCACCATCACAGCCCCACACAGACACTTATTACTAGACAGAACATAAAACATGCTTTCCCCTCAACACAGCCTCCTTCATTCATCTAAGACCTGGGAAGGAATGATTGCAACAGTCAATGAGAAGGGTGCATTTCAATTATTAAATAAATAAACTACTAATTAACCTCTCCAACTCACACTGTACATCATTGTTGAAACTTACATACATGGAAGTCATTTGTAACCCTATGGTAGCTCCCCAAATGTCTCAATATGTCCAGACATGTCAGGAGAAATGTTGTAAAAGCGCTTAAAAAATGCACAAGACATGTAGAATATTTACGTTAAGTAAAATGGCTTTAGGAATCTAGAGATTGCATTTTCACTCAGAGTTACCATGTTAAAGCTTCAATAGATGATACATAATAAACATGTGATACTTTCAATGGGTGTGAAATAGGGGGAATTTGTTTAAGCTTAAAACAACATAGATGGAAATAAAAGGTTTGACTGCTTTATTAAAGCATACATTTTTACAAAACACAGCAAGTATTTTAAGATAAACAATAGTGCAATAACTATAAAGTGACTCTTGAGAAATCAGCCATTTTGCAATGTATGCTGATTGCATTGGGACTGAAGACCTAAACCCCCTCTGATAGCTTTCAGACGCTATAAATGTCTAATTATTCCCGGAGTTACCGATAAGAGGCGTTATTGTCTACATGGTATTCACAGGTCTTTATAGCCTCGTAATACTCTCCTGTGTTTTCTATGGTTATTGCGAGGAAGGGGGGCTAAGGTGAAACTTAAAAATAGAAAGTTGAAGCACTCTTCAAGTTTGAAGCATGAGAAGGGAGGGCTGTTTCATAACAGCGCTTTTACACTGGCATCTTAGTGGATGGCTCCCACCACACCTTCTACTCAGCAGCATTGCAGGGGTATAAATCTTTGAAGAACTGCAACCAGCGTCACACACATGCACATTCAGCGCTGATACTGTCCCACCCAGTTTGTGGGCGAGGGGAGATGAACTAATAAGAGACACAGGAGGCCCAAGGTCTCAGGGTCTAGGACTATCTGTGTGTAAGTGTGTGGAGCATTGGCTGGGGGTACAAAGATCAACGTACAGTACAGCGGCTGGTGATCCATCATATTTCCTTTAATACACGTCTGTACTGTGGCCCTGTAGAATGAATATGTCCAGAAAAAGGTCAAGGTGACATTGCTTTCCTGCTTGTCTTGTTCCAAAGCAACATTTATGTTATGAGATAAATCAAAGCGAAGATGATTATCTCCTTCCTCAGACCTGAGAACATGATGGAATAATATTTCCATTGCAATACTGAGAATGAACATTGAACCTTACATGGTAATTGATCGAATGGCTTTGCTTTAGATGCGGATTGTTCTGCATTTACTGCATCATTCTAAGGGTGCAACAGATATAACTACATACACACAGTTGTGGATATTCTCTCCATCCTTTCATAATATCGTTAAATCACATTTGAAAATTAATGATGGACAAGGTGCTCAGATCTTTTACTTTCGTAAAAAGTAAGCAATATAGAAATACAATATGTTTCCACTGAAAGTACCAAAAGTGAAAGTATTCATTATGCAGAATTGCCCCTTTTTGGACTCTTTATATTTTATTAATAGATTATTATCACTGATGCATTAATGCGTAGCCTACGTCACTTCTATATTGCAGCTGGCAAAGGGCGGGCTTGTATTTATTCTAGGGCTGTCAGTCGATTAAAATATTTAATCGCGATTAATCGCATGATTGTCCATAGTTAATCGCGATTAATCGCAAATTAATCGCACATTTTTTATCTGTTCTAAATGTACCTTAGAGGGATATCTTTCAAGTTTTTAATACTCTTATCAACATATGAGTGGACAAATATGCTTTATTTGTTTGTTTATTATCATTTGAACAATGACAAATATTCTCATGAATATTAAACACAACAACCTCTGAACATTACAAATATTCACCTCAATTCAACCTGGAACCTCTCTCATACAATAATACTGTGTGTGTGTGTGTGTGTGTGTGTGTGTGTGTGTGTGTGTGTGTGTGTGTGTGTGTGTGTGTGTGTGTGTGTGTGTGTGTGTGTGTGTGTGTGTGTGTGTGTGTGTGTGTGTGTGTGTGTGTGTGTGTGTGTGTGTGTGTGTGTGTGTGTGTGTGTGTGTGTGTGTGGAGACACTGTGATGGATCGTTGGAGCTATGTGCAGCTCAAGGCATATATGCTCGAATGGGAGCTGCCTGGACGCTGCAATCATGTTGCGCGCACTATCCGTGCTGAGTGTGCTGACTTTTCGTACAATGTCCCACTGTCTGGCTACCTGCATAAAGTCAAGTGCTCGGCGCAGTTGTCGGCGAAATGTCATTGAAACAGCTCCTTATATCCGTTAGCGCAGCTAGCTAGCACCAGATGCTAACAACAACAACACGTAAGGTGTGCCTCGCTCGCGCGAGTCGCGCCACACATACACACTCCCTCCCGGTCCTCCCGATGGCCAGTCCGGGCCTGCCAGTGAGCGTGGAAGTGTGGTCTGCCACAAGCGGGCGGCAGGAGCGGGGCTGTCAGCATCAGCTTGTAGATGGTATTTTACACTCGATGCGCTCTGAAATTACGGCGGCCGAGGACAAAAAATACACATGCGTTAATCGCGTTAAAATAATTAGTGGCGTTAATTTTTTTTTGCGTTAACGCGTTATTAACGCGTTATTAACGCGTTATTAACGCGTTAACTTGACAGCCCTAATTTATTCATTTGCATACTGCTGGATGGCTAGAGAAACGTCCCTCGGCAATCAAAAGAGTATTCCTTAATACAACATTATGGTTGTTTTGTTCATAATATTATGTTTTATTAACTTGAATCTCCATTAAATATGATTGTATATACCAAATATATGTAAGTAGTACAATAATACTTTCTGAAGTAACAGCACCTCAATATTTGACTTCCTAAATGTACTTGGTTACTTTACACCACTGTTATAAACATGAAAAGTGGGTGTTGCATAACAAATGAACACAATGAAAATCGTAGGCAGCCTCAATAATGTCAAGTCTTTATTGATATATATGGTGTCGTACAGCAATACATAGTTATAACAGTAAAGAGAACGGTATGTCAACTACATTCAATCCCTATGCTTTTTGTAGCCATGGTAGCTCTAATAAGACATAATAATGATTAAACACCCCACTGGACAGAATCATACACATCACACACGACCAGAAAAATAAAAGCTGCTGGTGTTTTAAGGCATTTCACATCCTACAGTTATTTGATCTATGGCTAAATCTTGATTGTTGGTTTTGCACTGGTGACATACTGTATTTTCAGAAAATGCTTGATGTTTTATTCCATGAAGAAGTGGTGTTGCATGTGCACTAAGAAAGGTTTGGCAGTGCAGGGGTAGTAGCAGTATGGATGGTTTTCGTTCAGACACCAATGAAAACTATTTTGGCTTACAGTGTAAAGATAAAGGCTTGACATTTCCAACCATGAAACATTCATCCATTGTTATAGCTGTATACTATAACATGCTGCTAACATTTGTATGTTCCTGTACATCTCACATCTTTTCTTCTGCTTTACACTTGAATTCAGTAATCTGTGAAACAAAATGCCCAATTTTCAGATTTGCTGCCGCTCTGAATATCCCCTGTTATGATAGGCCGCTGTGTAGAGATACAGACACACTCACTACAGTACTAAAGTACTCATGAATATCACAATCCTCAAGTAAAACAACCAAACCCGTTCCAGAACAGTCTGCCGTACAATCAGTCGTTTTTTTGTTGTGAGTGCAGTTTGTCAAGGCGTGGGTCGCCATGACCAGCAGCAGTACAATAAGATGTGTTAAATTCGGCAGTGCACAAGCAGAAAAAACAAGCTATTCCTTAGTCTGTCATACTGAGTATTTCTAGTGGTGAGGTCTTACTACAACAGACATTTTATTCAGTCATGGCCACTGTAATAAAGTGAGAGGTCAATTTGTTTCAAATGTGTTGCAATCTGGCGTTTCCAACTGATTTTGTGACGTATTTTGTGCATTGATTATAGGGCTGGGTATCAGTAATCTGTATCGGGAAAGTCTTGTCCGAAATCAACCAAAACATTCGAAAAACTCTCCAGTCCATCAAAACCTGCATTTGATGCATTTTTATACCCACATCTAAAAAAGAAACCAACTTTTTTTATGGGTATGCTCACAGCCAATCCATGCAAACATTCTTTGATTTACGCGACGTCTGATTGGCCTACATTCAAAATGTATTGGTGTGAAATCATTTGAATTTAGTGGAGGCAATTCAGGAAACAGGAAGTATCCATTTACATTTTAGGTATCCATGAAGTAGAGAAAAAAAGGTATCAAATCAAGTTCTCTGTTATGGTATTGGAGTGCGTTGATACTGGTATCGAAAATGTTTTACGATACCCAGCCCTAGGTGATGCCATGGTTTTCTTCTGGCGGAGTGATATGGTATGGATTCTGGGGCTCACATGTGCTTCAAGCATCATTGATGGCAACATGGGAAATGAAATGGCGTAGGCATACAGCCATATGGATCATACAGAGTCTTGTTCATTTGTGCTGAAGCGCATGTTTCAAGAGAAAGATCGCTTCCACTTTAATATCATATTAGCTGCATCTTTGCTCAACGTCCGCTGTTCCTTGTATCCTTCGACAAACTGTGCAATCTGCTTTCTACATTTGCAAGATAACTTCCTGTATAAGTGCCTAAAGAGATTTCCTCATTCTTATCTTCACAGCGTTTACATCTACCTAACTCCTACCTAGCCTACAGGCTAACAAGCGCGTGTCTATGACTTCTATGAGTTTTGTGCATGATGACGCTCAGCATAGAAGATGGTGAAAAGGAAGGCATGAGTCGGCCTTTTAACACCGAACAATGACATTGTGGCCAAAGAGCAATGGACCGATGGATTCCATGCAATCATCTACATACAACATGCAAATTATGCTCCATTATTATTTTGCTGTTTGAATTACATTTTATTTAAATAGCTTAGGGAATCCACTTTTGGGAATGAAACTTCACCGGGGAAGTTAAGAAGGAGTTTAAAGAGAATGATGTGAAGAAATTGTGCAACGACACTATTTGCTCATGTACCTGATAATTAGTCTTTGAAATATTGGCTCAGCAATACACTATCATATGGGTTTCCTTGAACTGTGTGCTTTCTGACTAAACTGTCGCAGGTTGTTTTTTCCGTGTAAGTGGATGCACACACATGCTTCCATTGGAATGTGTTGAGAGTACCTCACAGCTTGTGGTAGTTGTGCCTGACCAGAGTTTGTATTGTCTGTCGTGTTTCAGTAGTGTGAAAGACCAGTATAATATTACTTTCTGAAAGATCTGTAAGAGATGCTACGAAAGTGCTTGTTATTGTTTGAGTGTGTGAACTAGAAAGAGAGAGCACTGTGTTTTTTGTTAAGAGTGTTTGTTACAGACGATTTATAATGGATTTCCTTTGGGGAACACATGTGGGGGGAAAGGGGAAAACGGGAAGGATAAAACAAACATCTAAATCCCACACTCACTCACACACTTGCGGACATTTAGCAGATAGAAACCATGACCATCTGCTTATAACACAAGGCAAGGCGTTCAGGGTAGACGCCCACAAGTGTGTGAGTGTGAAGGCTCAGGGTTTGTTCTAGCTTGGGAAATGAATAGAAGTATGGCGGGTTAAGGGTCGAAAACTAGCTTATAGTATAGGCTCTTAGTTTTTCTGATTGGTGGAATTGTCGCTGGGGTCTTGCTGCTTCTCCATCTTCTTGGTGGTGACAGCGGTCTCCTCGTAAACCTCGCGCTGGGTCACCTTGCCCATGGACTTGCTCTGCTGCTGCGGCTCCTCGTCCTTGCTCTTGGAGCTCTTGCCGGAGCTGCTGTACATGCGGCTCTGGTAGTTGTAGCCTTGACCGGAACTGATGCTGCTCATGGAGGAGCCGGGAAAGCTGATCCCAGTCCCGATGCGGGTCTCCTCACCCTCCAGCAGTTTCCTGCAGAGAGAACCATAGGGGAAAGGTTTAGATCAGATAGAGACAACATAAAGTTAAAGAGTAATTGGAAGAAAGAGCATTTTTACAATGGAGAAAGTGATTTTTCTCCCATTTTATGTCTGTATCGTGTCTTTTCAATTCCTTGTTATGGTTATCATAATTAATAGTGATAGTGAGTTGTCTATGAGAGAACAGCCTACCTGTAAGCTGCAATCTCAATATCCAGTGCCATCTTGACATTCAGCAGATCCTGGTACTCCCTGAGGTGACGAGCCATCTCGCCCTTAGTGGACCGCAGGTCGTTCTCCAGCTCCATCATGTTGTCCTAAGGGGAATCAAACAATACAGGAAAAGAAGGCCAGGGTTCAACACTTGTTTGAAGAAAAATAGTTAAAAAAATAACAGTTTGTGTGCACCTTTCTCTAAAGGGAATTATGGCAGTGCCCAGACATAGACCTCTGTCGATCCTATTTTTAATCCAGTGTGTAGCTGGCATTCCAGTCATTTATAAGCAAAATTGTGTTTGGTCTAAAAAAATCATTTTCTCAGCTAGGATTGTTGGATCCCAAACAGCAAAGAAAACATACTGATCTAGCAAATCCACTCAGTGGGCGTTGTCAGATGCAGCAGTAGCGCGCTGTCCCATGGGAGTGAGTTTCAGCACCACGGACAGAGCTCAGCTGCTCCTCACATTATTACCGCACCGACAATTATTTGTAATATAAGAAGAAATGCCCATATGCAATGTTTACTGTTCAATGTTATAACACCTTTATTCAACTGAAAATGAAAGGATTTTATAGCATTTAAAAAGTCATTAAAGGTGATTACCTGGTAGTTTCCAATCTCCATATTGTGCCTTTCCTCCATCTCCCGCAGCTGCTTTTCCAGAGACTCGTTGGATCCCCTCAGACTCTCTATCTCGATGGTCTTGGACTGCAGCTGCCTCCTGTACTCGTTCAGTTCCTCCCTGCTGGCGCGGATGGCGTCATTGCTCTTGCCGGCCTGCTCGGACAGGTCGGCGAACTTGGTCTTGTACCACTCCTCGGCGGACTGCAGGTTCTTGGACGCCATGGACTCGTACTGGCCTCGGATCTCCTTCAGGGCAGAGGTGAGGTCCGGCTTGGCCACCTCGATCTCCACGGACACCTGGGCAGCCTGGATCATGTCCGTCAGCTCGACCACCTCCTCCTCGTGCACCTTCCTGAGGAAGTTGATCTCGTCCAGGAGAGATTCCACCTTCTTCTCCAGGTCCAGGCGCACCATGGTGGCATCATCCACATCTTTCTTATAAGCCTTGAGGGTGGCCTCAGCTTCCTCCCGGGCGCGGAACTCGTCTTCGTATTTCCCCCTGACCTTATGGAGCTCGTCCTCGACGGAATCCCTCTCTATCATGAACTGGGACTTCTCCCCGCTCAGCTCCTCCAGCTGGGAGCGCAGTTCGCGGATCTCTTGCTGGTAGAGCTCCGCCAAGCGGGACGGTTCGGCCTGCCTCTGGCGCAGAGCGGTCAACTCCGTCTCCAGCACTGCGTTGTGCTGCTCCAAGGTGCGCACTTTGTCGATAAACATGACAAAGCGGTCGTTGAGACCCTGCATTTGTTCCTTCTCATTGGTACGGACAATTTTGAACTCATTGTTGAGGGCATTGCTCTGTGTCAGGTCGAAGGTCTCCAGTGGCATGGAGCGGCCGGACTTTCTGTTGTACGAGCCCAGGGCTGATGCGCTGCTCCGGGACGCAGAGGAGGACCGGTAACCTGTCCTGGAGGACATGTTAACGGTTGACCGCGACGGAGAGGACGCATAACGGGGAGAATCCCCAAAAATCTTGCGGTAGGAGGAGGCGGAGAAGGATTCAGACCCGAAGCTCATCTTGGCGTGTATGAAGAGACAGAGCAGAGCAGTGGGCGCGTCTCCTTTATATAGGGGGACCAGCCCAGTCACTTATTAATGCAGAACATGGGAACATCCGGACTCATTGCTCCCATATGCGTCAGGTAGAACAGCAAATATAAGAATCAATGTTGCATTTTTTTCCTTATTACTATTCTACAATTAGTCTGAGGTAATCCTACTATTGGTCCAGATGTGCGCAGTGGGAAGTTTTCTTTGAGTGGAGCAGATGGAACTGTCCTTTTTGGCGCAGTGGTGCGTCAAAGTTGTATCGCTTGTTTTACACTTAAAACTAATAATATAGGAAATGCTCCTCCATAAGCAAATGCTTATATCATTCCTATTAAGGGAGCCTCTCCATCTGTTTCTGAAGACGAAATATATCTGAAATGTGAAAAACAACCCTATATTTACATAAAGACTGAAATTGTTTTAAGGAAGGACAATGATGATGCACTTTCCTTCAAAACGTTTGAAGATAGGCTTTACTTGCAAATAGCACCAGAGAATTATAGTTATTCTCTAAAACATTTCAGTGACACTGTCCCACAAGTCCCAAGAAATTCAGCACGGTGAGACATCGTTTTACAGGCTTACAGAAACTTTGTATCGTGTGTTTCTTTACAATGACACTTATTACAAGTTAATTAAAATGGGGGGGAAATTACGTGTGAGTTTGAACTAGAACCACATCGTAATTCATATTAATTTACCTTTTTCAAAAACAATAGTTGATCACTTTAGTTTGGTGCATAGGCTACTCAAGTTTGCTCAACATCCCTTGAACACATCTCTCCACTTACAGGCCTTTGCTGCCCTCTGTCGTCAAATTGCAGCACTGGCAGACGGGACATTTTAATATAAAGGCTAGGACCACTTGGCACTTTAAAAGTTGTTTTATATCCTTTTTTACAATCCTGATTAATTTGTAGTCACATTTTCAAAGCTTGAATCCCAATTTGTCCAACGTCCATCTGATGTGGAACAATATTAACACAGCACATCGTTTTCATGTCCTCATTTATGGATACTTTTATGTTTATGCCATAAATGAATGAAAACAATATGTTCAAAACCTTAAATATTGCCAAATGAAAAATAGCTTATCTAACTGTAAATGTGTGGATTAGAGCATCAGGGAAGGACATGGCATGCTAAGTGTTTCTACCCAATGTGCACAGCATACGATGTAGACGAGAAATGTTAATAGAACTTCCTATTATTGTTTATTTTTATGATTACACATTAGTAACCAATGTGTGTTTGAGAGTAGTTTTTGGAATTCTTGTTGAGTTACTGTATGTTAGAAAAAATCGGTTTCCTAATGATCTATTGTCAGTCATTGTGCTGCATTTACTATGTTCTTGGATAGAAAAAATGTGCTAGGGTTTTGAGGCAGATTTGCTGTGCAATCAGAAACAGACCACAACCAAACAACAGACACAAAACATACATGACTTAGGGCTTTAAAGAATTAAGAAGTGCTTGTTAGAAAGAATGTTAAAAGCAAGTCAAGATAGAGTTAAGAGTTAAGTATGCCTTGCAGCTCATTCAGAGCTTGCAGGGCATAACAAGATTTGCATATTTGTCAGACTCCACAGTCCGACAACTACAATTAGAAGTTTGAAGGGGCCCTATTATGGTAATTCTTAGGTTTTCTTTTCTGCCTCTACTGTGACATGTTTACATGCTTTATTGTTCAAAAAGGTCTTTATTTTTCTCATACTGCCTGTGCTGCAGCACCTCTTTTCACCCTCTGTCTGAAACCAGAGCCCAGTCTGCTCTCATTGGTTAGCTGCTGGCTCTGTTGTGATTTGCCAACCATTTATGACGTACAATGTGTTGGAGCCAGCTAATAGAAGCGTGAATGTTGAAAAGTGATGTCACTATGTGACAACAAAGGAGTCCACTCGAGGCGTTACAGGCAGGGGGGGATCTGAGGGAGAGAAACTTCCTCAGGAGGGAACTTTGGGATTTTAGGCTTTGCCTACCATTTACATGCAGAAAAACCTTTATAACACACTACAGGAAAGAGAAAACCCCCCAAAGCATAGGGGTCCTTTAACAGATTACCAGTTAACATTAAAACAAGTATAAAATATTGGTAATAGTACCTCCATCCTTGTGATCCATTAAAGTGGACCTATAATGCTATATTTGAATAATATAGTGTAGGACCATACCTATATAAGGCATATTTATACTTTTTTTTTTTCAAAATACCAAACAGATCATGCATTTTAGCCATGCCTCATTTAGCTCAATTTGACATTTTTTAGCTCTGTTTTTGCAAGGGCTGATTCTGTGAGAACAGCACCATCTACAGGCCTGGCATATGTACTACAGCGTCTCCAGCGCTTTCGAACGGCAATGGCCGTGGCTGTCTCCTCCTGATTGGTGGAGTTGGCCCAATAGCCGTAGTGCCGCACTGTCCTGACGTCAGGGAAAATAGAGAGGGTTGTGTTTTCTGACACTTGGTGAGTTCCCTGGAACACCGGGGACACATATTCATGTATAAAAGACGTACAAAAGTGCATTTTGCATGATAGGTCCCCTTTAAATAAAAGGGTGTAGTTTTGGCCTCTCATTCCACTACAGTTTTTGGTGAGTTGTCAGCAGTTTCACTAAAGAGTATAACTTCTCAAATGGTTTCACTTAGTCGTTTGAGGCCCAAAGAGGTTATTCTACAACATTTAACAAAAAAAAGCTAAGAGTTGACACATTTTGTGTCAGAGAATTTTTTCTTATTTCCTTCACCATTTTTTACGACTAGACTTTGGAACGGCGACCTCTAAGATGATAACCTCAGGGATAAACTCTTAACTATATTATGCAGATAACTATAGCTCCACATTGACCAGCTACATAAGGAACATGTTCTTGGACATGTATGCATTGATTCATTATCAGTAGTGGACACCTTCTTAGTACATTTACCACTTCAACTTGTTTATTTACATTTTCTGTATATTTTATACTTTTTACTCAAATACATTACTTTGTTTACATTAATTAATTTGAAAATTCCAACTCGGACTAGAAACACAACATATTATCAATACATGTCATATTATAGATTAGGTGAAATTTCACAAGCTACCTGACATTATAAAATTAAATTAACAAAGTAAAAGCTGTAGTAAAGGAAAATGAGAGCTCCACGTTTACTATCTGCACCAGTAAACACGTGATAAACACATTCATTAATGAATCATTACTATTAAACAGTGGTGTAAAGTAGCCAAGTTCATTTACTTAAGTAGAGTACTTAAGTAACATTTTGAGATACTTGTATTTTTCTTGAGTATTTCATACAAAGTAATTAAAACTAGCTGCACCTTTACCAGCTTTGATAACACTTTAATGCATCAATGATTGCAATCAAAACATAATATAAATTATTCTGAAATGGACCTATCTGCATAATGAGTACTTTTACTTTTGGTACTTTAAGTATTTTTTGATGCTGATACTTTTGTACTCTTACTTGAAACATTTTGAATGCAGGACCTTTACGTAACAGAGTATTCCTACACTCTGGTACTTTTACTCAAGTACAAGATCAAGTACTTCTCCCACCACTGCTATTAAATGATATAATCATCATTGTGCAGGGTACTTTTTGTACTATATTGATTTACTAGCTCATTGATAATATAAGTAATATTTTGTATGCAAGACTTTTATTGTGGTATTGCTAATTTCACCAAAGTAAAATATCTGATACTTATCATAGAATACATGTTATCAGATGAACCTGATCAGATGGGAATCCAATCATCACCTAATTTGTGCGGTTTGTTGTGATTTTAATAGGTTTGTGACTGTCTTTAATCCTGAGTAGATAACTCAGTAATCTTTTCACTGCTGCTTAGGTGTCTCTTATAGTGAACTGATAACAGAAGCAGGACCGCGGTGTCACGTTTCTGTGCCACGACGACAGAGAGTCCCGCCTCCTCCTGACAGACAGGAGACGCGTCGCCCCTGAACGCCTCACAACAACAGCTGGTAGCACAGAGGAAGAGAGTGAGAGCTAAGCAGAGAGCAGGAACAGCACTCATCTGCTGCCTGGCGTTTTACAGTGAAGACACTTAGGAAAACACAGCGGCTATTTTCCTCCGACTTTTACACAGCTCAAGGCGCATGCTCAGACAGACAAAGTGACGGTGCAGTTGTTTTATTCAGGAACTCGGAGGTGAGTACAGTAATGCCAGTCACGACTTAACGCAGTGAAATCTGTCCCCGACACTTTGTGGCTTTTGTTTTTGCATCAAAGCCAGCTAGCGCGTTAGCTTTGCCCGAATCACTTTTATCCGTCCTTCTAATGTCAGCTATGAGATACAGAGCCGGACAGAGACTGTTTGAGCGGACTGTTAGCTAGCTTCACAGTTAGGCAAATAACTGGACGTTGTCTTGTACCGTCGTTAACCCCTGCGAACAAGGGCTTTCTTTGCTGTTAGCTTGAAAATATACTTTTACAGTAAGTTAGCTTAAGCTAATCTCTCACGCTTCACCCACCGTTGGTTTAATAATATCCCTTTTAAATGTAAACAGCTATGTAAACGATCTTCCTACACGTAAACCACATCCTATGTTGAGTGACAGCTAACGTTACGTGTACCATTGTTTGAGATGAGCGTCGACCCTCTTTCTCAAGTCTGACCTGCGGCAACAAAGCCTGTAACAAGTTATGGTATGCCCTTTCTCCAGAGGATGTTTGCAGGGTAGAACTGAAGGTGTTCCTATTGTTGGGATGTGAATCTCTCCAAGCCACTGCTCCCTTTAGCTTCAGAGCCCAGTGGACCCAGTTCAGACAATGGGCCAAGGTGTCATAAAGGCATTAGCTGAAATAATAGAAATGCATTACCACGATTAGAAACATCTTTGAAACTGTCTAGTTATGTTATTTTCAGACCCTGTATGAAATTAGATTCCAGATTGTAAAAGACAGACATGTCAACGCTTTTGTTTACCCTCATGTAAAGTCAACATTTATTGCGTTGTTAGTACTCTAACGCAGTGTTTGTTGACACTTGCGTCAGCGTGCTAGTTTAATTTGCATCTTGTTGGCACCAAAAACAAGAAAGCTGATCTGCCTTTGCTTCCTGCAGCACAGCCTCTCCAGTGACAGGAGAATTATAGGGAGAAAACAAACTTACAACTCTGGCCTTTAGGACGAGACTAGGCTTACATAGCATTCACGAGACATTGATTCCACACATGATCCTCTCTGTCCTTTCCACTTTGATCCTTTTTGTGCGTAATCTGATGATTCATTATCAGAGAAAGACTTGATTGTGTTATTTCCGTAAAATACTGTACTATTATGACCTGGCCGTGTTAAATTGTTTCATTAGCTTTTGATGCAGTCTTTTTGCTCATGGCTTTGTTCTTTGACTCTGCCTTGTGATATAGTTATGGTTTGATAAACAGACTAGGTTGAATCTTCATGGTTTGATCTGTCTCATAAATGAACCCAGTGGCCTCACTGGCCTGACACAGTATGCCCCCCCCCCCCCCCACACCCATCCTCTGCTCCCCCCCCCCCCCCCCCCCCCCCCCCCCATCCTCTGCTCCCCCACCATGACCTCTATTTGCAGTTGAACACACCATGACAAAGTCCGCATTAAATGATGATGATGATGAATAACAGTGCAATGATGGATAACTACAATTATCAACAGAATGTAAGGGGGTTACAGGTTGATGTTATGTCAGAGCGGTTTTTAATAGTTATCTGCTGAAATGAGCATGCTAACTGACTAGCCTGGGCCTGTCCCATCATGTAATTTAGTTTGGTTATAGGAATTAAATCATAATGGCTGAAACAAGAAAACGCAACATCACAGCTGGTTTATCCCAGGGGGCTTCAAACTTTCTGTTGCTGCCTTTGCAGGTTAAACCAGCACTTCTCCAGCTGTGAAACGGGGATGTTTTGATAGGAACCTTTTTTTCTACCATATTGCATCCATTAAAAAAAAACCTGCTTACTAAGCTCTTGGCTGCTAAGATGCGTTGTGTAGGTGGTTGAAGCTTTAGGGCTGCCATGCACTCCACCTAAAGAAGATTTATATTATATTCTGATCGTCTGCTATAGCATTCTGGATCAAATATTGCCTCTGTCAAAGGATAGTAAGGAAGCCCTCAAACCACCTCTTATACCTTAGACGATAATATTGGCTACACCATGATTGCCACCAATGTTCCTCTGTTTTAAGCCGTCAACCAACTCCTTATTGTTCTTGACCCAACAAGTCTGGATTCCCGTAACTGCATATTGGAACATTTAAAAAGAACAACACAAGGTACCATCGGACCTGTCGCATTCGCTTCACAAACATTAAATCGCTAATAGGCATAAAAAAGAAGAACTTCTAGTCAAAGTTATCAGCTGACTGAAGATTGCTAAACTTTTGTTAGAGCAAAAATGAAGACCGAGATGCAGAAACTGTGATAAAGAAGCTCCAGTAGCAGGTAATGACAATGCATCCTAATGAACGGTTGAATGAAAGTCTGAATGAAAACATATGGACAAAACAGCTGGTGGGACTGCTATTGCACAGGAGTTCAAATACCATGTTGCATGTTTTGAAAAGACCTGCATAACATCAAGAGACGGCAGCAGTGTGTGGCAAGAACCAGTCTACAAGGCACAACTGGGATGTTTCTGTCAGCAAACTCAGCCAGAATCTACCAAACATGGTCAATGTGGACTTGAACGCCTTCGAAATATTGTGGTCAAAATGTATGACAAGTCAAGTGAACGGATGGTGTTGATGATGGAGGGCTGGACATGTTTTCTCGAAGCGATCTCTCCTACTCTTGCAGCTATTCCTGCATGTAATACTGTGCTGACAACCAAGCAGAATGCATATGGGTCAATCAATACTCTCAACCAGAAGCACAAAGTCCTGCAGACTGGGGATGCATCAGGAAAGGTCATCTGCGGGAGATCTATTGCAGACCGAGAGTTGGTCCAAGATGAAGTGTGGATGCATATGTGAATGCCGTGGAAGGTGCAAATGCTACAGCTTTGGTTTTGCCTGCACAGCGTTGTGTACGTGCAGACTGGAAGACTAGGTTCTGATTCAAACCAGAGCATAGTTTGATTATACATGTACATTAACTATGAGAGGACAGACTAATGTTCAGGTTATTTAAGTTACAGATGTGTTCAATGATAAAACATTTACATAGATGCTCAAGTGGTCAGTTTACACATGACTGCATTTTACATATTGTATTTTGTATGCTGGAGAAGTGGTTTGAACAGTAGTCACCATATGGCTTTGTTCAGTTCTTCGTTTGCAGATACATTTACCATTTTAGTGCAACATTTCGAATAACATTTGGTTGAAAAAACGCTGTGTTCATGCATATTTTTTCACAGTGCATGAATCTTTTTTCTATATCTAAAAACTTGTCATTTGACAGCACAATTAGGTGCACGGACAAAGAGATTAGATGAAAACAAACAGGGCTTATTTTCAGTCAGATTTGGGTGCTTCTTTTACGATTGACAATATGTTCTCTACTTAAATGTGAAGAACATTATAGTTTAGCTTGCTTGTTACTCAACAATCGTCTAATGTGATGGCATTAGATTGTGTTTGTGTCTAACTGAATATTTTCTAATTGAACCCCTCCATTTGTGTTTCTTTCTCCCAGACACTGAACGGTTTTAAAGATGACCACTTCATGGAGCGACAGACTGCAGAACTTTGCAGACTTGCCTGCAAACATGGACCGCGTGACAATGAAAAAATACAGAAGAGAGTCCTACCACAGGTGAGGAACACATGTGGAGGTACAAGGTGCATTTCTGACTAACTGAAACTACATCCAGATGGGAGTGTTTCAGGCCATAAAATACACAGCCACACTTTGAGGTCAGTCCACTCCAGTTGGTTGTATTTGAAATGTGTCAAGTAGATGCATCAGCAGCATATTTGATCATATTTATCATGAAACTAAAGATTGAAAGTCATCTCCATGTAGAAATATACATCCAAAAAACATTGGGTCTATTTCCATCCTCTTACATTTCCACTTAGAACTGACTCAAAATATGTTACATTATTTAATTTTAACCAGACTGTTTTTAAAGCAAGGCCTTTGATAATCATTGAACTCAACTGAAACGTTGACTTTAATTAAATGTCAACAAAATACACATAATTGTATTAGGTAAATTGAAAGCAATACTTTTGAGTTCAACTTCATATAATTGCTTTCATCCAACCTAACTAAATGATGTGTAAATTGTTGACATAATACTTTTAATTAAAGTCAACATTTTAGTTTATTCAGTGTAGTATGTCTCTTAATGCTGCGCCGCTGCTGAATGTATGCGCGCCGATGCTACGGGGCGCCAGCCAGGTACCTTTATCTATTTAATATAGTTGTAAAAAATAAAGTAAGAAATCATTCCAATGTGTACTATAGGACAGTTTAAAAGGGGAGTGATTAGTATCACTCCCCTTTTAAACTGGGGAGTGATACAGCATAAACCTGTTATTTAGTCACGCGGAACCCTTTATTTCTAGAACAGGTTTGGTCTATTAGATTTTGGGTGTGGTTTTCACACTATTGCCCCACGCATGGCAAAATGTCACTGGTCTGTTGAGGTCCTGGAAGTGAGTGAGTGCATGTATCAGCTTGGCTTAGGGGCTAAACGATACTTTCCACATTTGCTGAATATGGAATTAAGTTGTTTGTTCTTTTGTTAACTTGCACAATAAAGAGTCTCATTATAGTTATACCTGCTCACTGGAAACGCCCTCCAGTCATTCTGAAAGCCTCATGTTAGGAAGCATTCATCCCTGTGAGAGCTATAAAACATGTTATGCTGGTCAATGTTTAACTCAGCCTGAGATATGCGTGTCCACTTCTGCTCTTTCACACTGTTATACAACAGAACGCTGACAGGGTTTATGAAACTGTCACTCATCTGTTAGCTCTGCATGTGCCCAGTTCCCCCCCCCCCCCACCCGCTCCAGACACACTCCTGCAAACAACCACACGTGCAAAGATAAAAACAAAAGGTACAAAGGTGGAGTTGAGCTCAATAGAAACAATCTAAAGTGAGTAGTTCAGTTCAGTTCAGTTTAATTAAAGGGACGTTTTTGTTTATCTCAAGAAGGGACAAAGAGCATTCCTTTTTAAAGTAAGTGCTCAGCTGAAACAATGCAGCGAGTTGTGGGTATCACATAGCACAGGGCTGACGACTCTGCTCGGAAAAGATAAACTTTCTATCTCAGGGAGTAGAACCACTGTCTGCAGGAGATTAGAGAGCAGTGGAAAAAATCTGACCGATTGTCACACAGCTGAGCTCACATGGAGTAGAAGTGGTTAAAGGATTCTGTCCTAGATGTGGTGCGGCCCATGAGGGATATTTGAGGCAATCGTGTTGTCAGTCGGACCAAAGTCCAGGCCGACTCCGTTAATCAAGGTGCCCCCACCCATCCCATCCCCCACCCATTGTCAATATGGGCGAGCTTTAGACCATGATCTCACTTAGGTTATGATTTATGGCTCTCATTTACTACACCTCCCACATATATTAAGCAAGAGGTCATACATGAAATGACAACTGCTCAACAAAATAGTAAAGAATTCGATTTGAATCCCTCTCCTGAAAAGGCGTAGGCTCGTTCAACGCTGAGAAATTCTGACAGGAGTAATATATTGGTTTTTATTCAGGCATATCTGTGCTTTAGACAGACGATGTCGGTAATGGAGGGACGGTAAGGCCATATTAATTTGTATAAGCAACTGTATAGCCAGATAAACAACCAGAAATGGTATTCAAATGCCGCTGAATGGATAACATAGAAATATGTTAATATTTAAGTTTGGCTATTTAAAAAAAAAAAAAAAAAAAGTTTCCCAAAATAAATTCAGATTAAAAAAAAAAAAAAAAAAAAGTAATTGTTCTGGGTTAATAATTGTTCTAAACTTATTTTCTTGAATCAAATGAAACTGAACAACATTTTCTTTCTCTGCTAGCAATTTAATTGATTTGAGCAAATTTGAATTTGACTAACATTTGAGATGCAATTTGACCAATCAAAATTGAGCATCTTAAACATTTCTTTTTATATTTAACTCTTTTTTTTATTTGAATTTCCAAGTATAAACAGTTAAGATGTAATGAATGTCTTAAACAACATTTACTATTATTTACATTTAACAATCAGGCAGTGAGGTGCATAAAATACATCCATGTTTTATAAAAGATACAATTAGAAAAAACCTAATGCTCCCGTGAGAGAAGTTAAGGGGGGCTTGCTTATTTCTACCTGACTTGTGATTGTTCTGGATGTCTTTGAGGGCGCACAAACACCACGCTGCGCAGCAACAACAACAACAACCCTGACTGACGGCTCACAACAACAGAGAATGACGCAGAATGGCCACAATCATTTTTGCAACAAGTCAGAAAAATGTGTGAATGGCAAGAAAGCAAAGAGAGAGAGAGAGAGAGAGAGAGAGAGAGAGAGAGAGAGAGGAGGGTGGGGGGGCTTTGTTTGTGAGCCAGAGCTACAGTGTGTAGCCCGAGCAGTTTAGAACAACGGAGGGTCAAAGTGAGCTTTAATTTTGCTCAGAATGCATCGCCACTCGTCTGCTGGACTTACGTCTAAATGGGAACTTGTTCACTATGGATCTGCCGCCAGGTATTTCACAACAGATTTACAGATTGGTGATGATGAGAAGCTCATTGTCACAGATTTACAACAAGATAAGATGCCTTGCTGATAGATTTGCTAGAGAGATCTAACCTTGTTTTTGTTTGAGTGTTTGATTACCCTTTGGCCGATTTTCAGCCTATTTGTAGCTTGACTAAATATTGACTTGTGTGGAAAGATCTAGGAAGCTACATGTTGACTTCAGACACAGATGCTGAGGATAAGATATGAAGGTCTGTGCCAGCAGTTTAACTAGCAGCATGTGTCCTTTGGTTGGTAGCCCTGTCACCGTGTCAACACTGTCTGTCAGTGTGAGCTCCGCGGTCTCCTGATTGATTTATGACTCATCACAGGAGAGCTGATCCCTGTCAGATGTGCTCAGTGTGGTTTCAACACACCCTGGTTTTCTGAACTTCCTGTGGTTTTAGCAGCCGCTGGACTCAAGACATGGGGTTTAGCATTACTCAACCATTTTGAGTCTTTGTTACCCAAGTTTATCCTTATGCTGTGCAATAATGTGTCACATGATAGTAGTTTCTGATCCCTGATTAGTTGAACATATTCCTTTTGAATATGTTGATCAAAGTGTCATCAATTGCTATGTACAGTTGTGTCTTTTGGTGCCTCCCTGGACTTTATTTTATTATATTTTAACAACTGATGATCTTTGCTTAAGTATCTGTACTTTTGCTTTTGATTAGCTAGGTTTGCTTTTCACCAACCTAGAAATACAACCCAAATGTAACACTTAGTAAACTGCCTCCTGGTACCTCATGAAGTTTTCACGCTTTAACAGTAAGACTAAACTTGAATGGCGTTCCCTACTTTAATAGTTTTGGTTGATTTTAGAATTCTTGCAATGCAGAGAAGGTTGTTAGGTGACTGATCATTTAACCTGAGGACAAAGTGGAACCTCCGCGAAGGTCAATGGTGTTCTGATTTCTGGGATAGGAAGTTGTTTTTACAAGCGCTATAAAGAAGATGTGTTGTCTTTATTGCTCACAGTGTTAAAACAACCCGTTAATTGTTTAAGCTGAGTTGTTGGTCCTACTTAAGAGGGCGTTGGGTACAACATTGTTTGATTATTCCGACGTCACATCAAAGAAGCAGAAATACCCTACGGCACTGTTAATACAAGTGAAGCATGAGCTTAATGCCCCGTGATTCGGATCACTTACTAAATGTTATGGATGCTTCCTTGGCCCTATTTCACGTCAACAAAGTTTCATGAAAATAGGGCAAGTCGTTTGTCTTCTTTAATCAGATAAAAAAGAATGTCAACATTTATACCCAAAGTTCTGAATGCAAATGGCCAAGGGCTTGATCTTTTGCAAATGTCATTGTACGTGTAATTGGCTTATTGAGTTGCAGCAGTATTTTTAGACAGTTTCACATTGCCAGCTTTTCTTCATACTGAATAGACCGATTATTTAGGCCCACAAATTGGTTATAGTGAGTCCATCCAGTTAGAGACACAACTTCTTTTGGGTCTGCCAGATTGCTCATGCTAATCTTATTGTTGAAAATTGCATTCAAACTAAAACATGTACCTCTACTTGTGTCCCACAGAGTGTTTGTCAACAGAAGCTTGGCAATGGAGAAGATTAAATGCTTTGGCTTTGACATGGATTACACTTTAGCAGGTAAGTTTGATGCACATTTTATATATTTTGTATCTTTTAAGGAAAATAAGGATTTAAGTCGATGGGTTTTCTAACTTTTTTTTAAATTTCACAATTGAACTTTGGCGAAATGTTTTACAGAAATGTGACGTTTATTCTAAAACTATGTGGCATAAATTATTATTGTTGATTGGAACACAGTTGATAAATGTCTTGGTTGATAAAGTAATCTATAGTTCCAACACTGCGCTTTACTTTTTGGTACTTTTAAATGTTCGGTAGCAGTCAAAGTTGGCCAGAGGATTGCATAACAGATCTTCAGTCTCCTGGGTGAATTTAGATTTTTAAAGAATTTGGAATCCATAACAAAACAAATCTCCAAATATTGGATATGAACATATTTTGCATGGAAGTTAAATTCTCACTATCCTATCTTTTCAACTCTATATCTGGCCACCCTACCATCCCCCCAGGACTGCAGCTATTCCACAAAATATTATTTAGGTCAACGCCGGTGACACTTAGATAACAAAATGTTAAGCCGAGCTCCCTGATACACAGAGTATAGAGATGTTCTTTTTCCTACTGACCTCTAACCTGGTTGAAAATACCCTGATTTTAAAGCCACTCTGCGCTGTGACTCAGCTGCAGTTTTTGGTCTCGCTGTTTCTATAAATACATCCTCCCTGACTTTGAAAAAGCGGGTCACGTTTGTTTGTTGAGTTCTCCAGTGATGGCTCCCATGAGAACGGGGATCACTCGTAGTCCCTCTCCGGCTCCGCGGTCCGATCCCCGCTCCGGCCGCCGGAGATATTACAGACGCTCAGCTGTTGACATGAGGCTCTTTATGGGTGCTCATAACCGAGTGTTAATGTTTACTGAAAGCACGGCTATCATGTATCTTTCTGAATGCTGTTCAGGTTTAGGTTCACAGAGGTACTCCATCATCAGGGAGCTGGTGGTGTCACAGCCTGGCTGCAGTTAAACCACAGCCCCCCTGGTATTTGTTTATCAGGGGGTTGTTAACGGCATTTCAAATGTGCAAAATGCTCGAAATGTGGGCTTGTTTATACAAAGTATTTCTGTGAGGAAAAATCTAAAACACAACTTTTTCCGGAATTCAGTTAGAAAGTAGGAAATATCAAGCTGAAAAGTAAATAAATGTTTTGACAAAGTTGACAAATTTGTCTGCTATATATTGAGGAATTTTGCCTTGAAAAATCAAGGTATGAAAAAAATGGTACGCCCTTTCTGATTGGCCAACAGGAGTCCATTGATGTTGTATACCAATTGCTATATAACAACTTATGTGAATGATACTAATCAGATATTCCACCATAGAGAAGTTTATCCTTAATGACTAGCGCAGCAACCAGTTGTTGACTAATCAATAAGTTGGTTGACAAATATATTATATTGACAATTATATTATAAGATCATAATAATCACGAGTAATTGTAATTGTAATAATACTGTCATTTTAAATGCAAAAAATGTAGATTTTAAAATGTGGAGATTTTCTGCTTTTCTCTGTTTAATAACATATTAGAAAATAATATTGTTGGTTTTTGGAGTGACAAAACAAGACATTTAAACATTTCTCTGGGCTTTTAGAAATGTTTTACAAATGTTCTGAAACTTCGGAGACTGTTTTATCTGGAAAACAATCGGCAGATTAATAATCAATACTAAAAAATAGTCATTGGTTTCAGCCCTTTAAGTGGACACTCCTTATTCAGTCATGTTTCATACCTTTTCACCTTTTATGTGGTTTTAAAACTAAACAATCAAGTATATTTTGAGCAATAGTTGCATTTACCACCTTATCAAGATCAAGCTGATTGAACATGTCACAGCCCAAGTTGCTTTTAGTTTCTCTTCATGTTCTGATTAAACATTGATCTTAATTCATCCATAAAAACATATAAAGCTCAAAGGTTGCAGATGGATTTACAACTACTACAATGCGTGCATAACACGTCACATTTTGTAGTATTTCATAAGACTGCAACCAACATCAGACAACATTGCCTCATCTGTTCTTTGTGCCCCAAAGGAAGCACTTGCCTGCAGAATGTTACCCAACCACTCTGTAAAGCCAAGTTTTCACAGAGAGAAACACATCTTTTTGTCCTAGTTTTCAAACACACTTTTGGCTGCCCTGTAGATCCCAGAGGCTGCGCTTCTATTTTCTTCCCGATATCTTTCATGGTGTCATAAATCTGTGACAAAGGCCTACATTTGCGTGTCAGCAGCCGCAGATAAAATAAGACCGATGCTGCATTAGATTCTAATATAGATAGCTATGTGGCATGGTTCAGATTAAGTCACACTTTCATGGGATTGTGTTTGAGGGCTCTATTAGGAAAAGGGTGCGGGTTGTTTACCTTGTGTGTGTGTGAGGGGGGAGTACATTACATTCAGGCCTGAGGTGACCTGGCCTGTAGACTCTGGAGAGAAACTCACACCTCAGCAATCGGAGCAGCGGGAGTATAATTAACTGGCAACGATCTCATCAGACTGGACGTAAAAGAGGTGTGTGTGTGTGTGTGTGTGTGTGAAATGTGAGAAGGGGCGCAGCAGTGGAGCAAATACCTCAATAAAACAGAAATGTGAAAAAGTCAAAGACCTGGCAAACGACAGTAACAGGACTTCCGCTCCTTTTCTGTTGTATTATCTCAGATGCCTCTTTTCATAAAGGATGCATCCTTTCATGACAGCCCTCAGTCATTGAAACAGGTCTGTCAATGACTCCACTGCTCAAGCCTTTAAACATTTCAGATAGTGAGGGGCAGGGGTGTTGTGTGTCAGTGTTGAGTTTGTTTGTGTGGTGGGGGGGGTCGTTCAGATGTCAAATGGGTTCAGTGTCATTAACGTCACAGAAACAGGGAAAGAGATTTTATGGTCAGGGTTTTTACATTTTTGTTTGCACAGATCTGGTTATTATGTCCGATAAGATATTTCTGTGAGAGGGGCTCAGAGGGAAAAAAGGTGTTGTGTATTTCTTTGGACAAATCAGATTTAAACATTTGATGTTTTGGTTTCAGCTTTCCTTTAGTGTGTTTTATAGGTTTTTATGCATGAAACGCCTCCATTGGACTCCTTTGTTTACTTCTGTAACATAATGACATCACTATGTAACAGTCGCGCTACGGTTGGCTATCGCTCTAACACAGTGTATGGATAAGGGGCAGGACATCTCTAAACAGTTGACCAATCACAACAGAGCCGGCCAGCTAACCAATCGGAGTAGAGTGGGCTCTGGTTTCAGACAGAGGGTGAAAAGAGGTGCTGCAGCACAGGCAGTATGAGAAAAATAAAGAGCTTTTTGAACATTAAAGCATGGAGACATGTCACAGGAGAGGCACAAAATACAAATATGAACCTGAAAATGAGCCTTTTATATCCTCTGATTTGAAACCAGGTTTTTCATTCGGTTCAATTCAGTTGTGAAATTGATGGCGTGTAACAACCCTTATCTGTTATTATGTAATAAAACAACTTCCTGGTCCTAAATGACAAGCGTGACTCACTTTGACATTACCTAGAGATGAGATTTTATTGCCTGTTATGCGAGTGGGAGGACCGCCCCCCAGTGTCCCAAGGTCAACACGTGGAAAGAGCCCCAGAGAGAAAGAGAGAGTGATGATAGCAAAGGTGACGGAGGGGAACGACTCTTAAAATAGGTTTCTTTGTAGAGCTCAAAGAAGATTATGACAAGCGATGGACAAGAAGCAGGAGTAGTACGGGCAGTTTAGTGGCTGTATGCTGCTGCTCCGGGCACCCGGCCCAAAGCCTCAGTTCTGCTGGGAGACCACAGCAGGGTTGTGGAGGGAGAAAGGGGTAGAGGTTACGTGATTGTAATGCAGAAACAGGCTCATGCTTTCAGAGCTGCATCAACAAAAGCTTTGCTCTACACAAGATTTTCCTGTAACCCCGTGCATACATTAAGCTTCTGTGTGTAACTCAGCACGGAGTAGGACACAGATGTTTGTCCAATGCTGCCCCCCCCCCCCAACCCTTAACTGTCCTCTATCCAAGCATCATCAGCCAACATTTCTCCCCCCCCTCCAAGGGCCTTCCGCAAGCCCCACTGGGACTGTGAAAAGCAGGCAACAACACAAGCACATTCTCCCATCGTATTTATAACATCTGACATATTCTCTTCCCAGTGTCACATAGCATTTAAATCCTCTGCAGGGTTATTCTGAGCACAGCATCAATCTGAGTTTTGTTTATTTTCAGAGCCCCCCCCCTCCCTCCTCTCGGTTTTGGTAAATATGTTGCGGTGACATGGTTGGAAGGGCTCATCAGTGACTTTTCATTTTCACGCCTGATCCTGTTTCTTTCTGTGGATTTGTGTGCAAAACACAGAGGGCCTTGTTGATAGCGAGGAAAGACAAGGGCAAGTGTGTGTGTGAAGGGGTGTGGGGGGGGTTTCACTGGAGAGTGAGAACATGTCAAAATACTGAGACAGCACAACGGACTCTCAAGGGGATGAGAGAAGTCTTGTGTGCATGTTGAGTGACACTGTGAGCTCCACTGAGTGTGTGTTGCCTCTAATGAAACCTTGTTAGTTGTGTAATGGCAGGTCATGTTCCTTTAACTGTATACATAATATAGTGTTTGTGTACATTCTACATGTATGTCACATGTTCCACAGGCTTGAGCTGTACCACTTCAACAGCTGTAAATGGGTGACTGTTGTAGAGCAGGACAACTTTACTGTCACCTTTTGAAGAAATCTGTAGTTAACCAAGTTTCCATACACACTTTTTTTTTAAATACGCTTTTTTTAACTGCTTTGTGATTTTCTGACCAACATATACAACAATTTAAAGTTTTAATTTCAAAATGACTTTAATTACTGATTGAAATGTTGTTTATCTTTTATATTAATCATTTGATCAGATTCTTTCTTGTTCTTAATATGTCAGAAAATAGGTAAAAATGGCCATCACAAGTTCAAATAGTTTGTTTTGTCAGATCAACAATCAAAAGACCTAAAAAATAATAACATTATATTAACTTAAATCAGAGAAAAAGCTGAAGAAAAACTTCATTTTTGTAAAGCTGAAATCACGGGACTTTTTGAATTTTTTCTTCATAAATGTCAAATATGATATTTGTTATATATTCCTTGTCTGACGAACGACTAATTGATTAATTGACTCTGTTGTTATTCAGTTCAAAGTGACCAACAAAGTCTAACAATAAAGCAGCGATCAGAGTAATCGGTTCAATAAGCCAGAAATAAAACAACCTATGAACATACTGTATATGTAGAATTGAATCTTTTTTTTTTAAATGTCAACAACTAAAACCTTTTATATAGCAGATTAGACCCCAAATTGTACTGTAGCATCACATGCATTGTTACCTTTGATTGTGTTAAATGTGTGTGTCTGTTTAATTTCCAGTGTACAAGTCACCAGAGTATGAGTCCCTGGGTTTCGAGCTGACGGTGGAGCGGCTGGTCTCAATCGGTTACCCCCAGGAGCTGCTCAGCTTCGTCTACGACCCGACCTTCCCCACCAGGTCAGTAAACGAGACACCCATATGTAAATTAGTTTTGTCATTGTGTGTGTAAGGTCTAGATGTGTTTCATTATGGAAATACACACTGGAAATGTCTCGATATACAAATCTATTTTTCGGTCTCTTTTGGTTACTTATTGTACTATACAACTACATAGTTTACAATAGAGAGGTGAAGTCCCTCCCCTTCCGGTGGGACTCATTGGACCTTATTTCGGAAAAAGTTTGTATTGAAGTCAATGGAGAGAGAAAGATTATCTTTCGATCCCGTTTGAATTGTGCCACGAATTACACATATGTGTTATTTTTTTGACTTGTAAAATTATCTTTTAAATTGACAAACATCATATGTGTAATTCGTGGCACAATTCAAACGGGATCGAAAGATAATCTTTCTCTCTCCATTGACTTCAATGCATAACTTTTCCGAAATAAGGTCCCATGGAGGTCCACCGGAAAGGGAGGGACTTCGCCACTCTATACAACTATGCAGTTTTTTTTTAGCTCTGTATTACACTGAGAGTTTTATATGTCAATAATGTTCAACATTGTGATACACGGTGTGAATGCTGCACTGTAGACTAATGAAGCATCTGTTCCCTCCGACTCTCAGGGGTCTTGTGTATGATACCATGTATGGAAACCTGTTGAAGGTTGATGCCTACGGTAACATCCTGGTCTGTTGCCATGGATTCAACTTCCTCCGAGGGTAAGTGTGTCCCACACCCCCCCCCCCCCCATCATCTGAAAAGGATCATAAATCATAATCCAGTTTGATAACTTTGCAGGTTTGTTCAAAGTGTTGAAAGTTTGGAAAATGCTTAAAATAACAGTTTGTTTTCAAGCTTGGTATTATACTTTGATTTCAATTAAACTCCTTTAGAAATGCTTGATTATAATCACATGTCTACAAATATGTTATTGAATTATAAGCTGTTAGTTGGTTGTCTTCTGGGAATTTAGTTAGCTCAAAATTAAATAATCGTGATCAAGAAATGAAATGAACAGCTGTTAGAATAAGCAGTTACATGAATTGCTTTAGGGAAAGGAACAGTTTAGGCTACAAGAGGTTGGAAAATGACCTCGAAAATGCTTAAAAAGTCTTTGAGTTTAACTCTTAAAATGCTTTACCAACCTTGATTTAGCTTTTTTCTGACATTGTCAGCTCTAAATATATGTGAGCTAAAAAAAAAAAAAAGGGCCAACAAAGATTTACTCTTGTCTTTTTCTCCTTTCCCAGCCCCGAGATCCGCGAACGGTACCCAAACAAGTTCATCCAGAGGGATGACACAGAGCGCTTTTATATCCTTAACACACTCTTCAACCTGCCAGGTAAGGCCTCTGAGCTCAGAGAAACATCACGGGACTGTTGCAGAGAATATAAACCTGCAAGACTTTTAATCTGATTAAAAGCTGAACATGATGTTATGGGAGATTCAAACCGAACATTTCCCCTGTCAGATGATCGAGCTGCTTCCTCACTAAAGACCCCCCTTCCCTCCTTTCTTTCTCCTTCACAGAGACCTACCTCTTTGCTTGTCTTGGGGATTTTTTCTCCAACTGTGATAGATACACAAGGTAAGGAATTTTTTGTAACACTATCTGTCATGCAACAAGTGTCGGGTGACACAAAGACAGTTGCTCACCAAACCTGGGTCAGCATGGGAGGGTGCAGGTGTCTCAACCGCTAATCTAAGCTAATTGTTTTAAATGGAAATCAAATGGGAGTACAGCCATCTTTGTTTCTCTGTAACAATGATTTATATTAATCTCTCTTCTACTAATGGTAGAAAAGCATGGATTATTATCAGAGTGAGATAGGAATGAACGATGTTCTCACTAACTATTTAAAGAGAATGAAATCCTGATATAGCTACGAGATAATCTTTTCAAATGTTACTCGGAGGAGATCTAATTTCCTGTAAATCTGTTGAGAGTGTAATCTGGAATGGTTGCATGTCCTTTGTCCTCTGAAACCTGGTTGTTGGTCTTTTAGGGGGAGAATGCTTTCCTGTTTGGCTGGGGACCCCTCCAACAAGGGAAGGCTATCCCATTTAAAAGCAAACAAAAAAACAAAATGTCATGTTTTTGAAAACCTTCTGTAAAAATGTGGCCTGTCCGACGGCTGTGCTCGTGTGTGTCTGTGCTCCTCTCCCCCAGCTGTGAAAGTGGCTTCAAAAATGGCGACCTCTTCATGTCCTACCAGAGCATGTTCCAGGACGTCCGCGACGCCGTCGACTGGGTCCACTTCAAGGTCAGACCCCTTTGAAAGTCCTTTTCTCAGTCTGTCAGTTAGTAAATACTGAGTTATCTACACTCTCTTTACAGCCACCAGTCACAAATGACAAAAAAAGTCATTTTAAAGAGGCCCTTCAAAATTATGCTCTTTTTCAGATTCATATTTGTGTGTTGTGCCTCTACTCTGACACGTCTCCATGCTTTAATGTTCAAAAAGCTCTGTATTCTTCTCATACTGCCTATGCTGCAGCACCTCTTTTCACCCTCTATCTGAAGCCAGAGCCCAGTCTGCTCTGATTGGTTAGCTGGCCGGCTCTGTTGTGATTAGTCAACCACTAAGAGATGTCCCTCCCCTTAGCCTATCACGTAAAATGAGTTACATTTTGAAAACGCTCATCTCCAGTTTAAGTAGTTTGTTATCTACCCCCTGTTCAAAGCCACCAGACTCATTCACAAAAACAGTCATTTCACCTCACAGAACGTGGGATTCAAAAGATATTCAGACATTTCTTTGACTAAAAATTACTTTCAATTTTGATTGATGGGTTGGTTATTTGGTTAGATTCATGAATTCATTGTATTGTCTTTAAATGATACAAAATGGTGAACAATTCCCATTACAAGTTTAAGTAGTGTGTTATCTAAGCTCTCTAATGCCACCAGACAAAAACAATAATTTGACCTCGTGGAAGTTGCAACATTTTCCTCAAAATCCATAGGCCATTAACTCTCTAGTTGTGGGAAAAAGGGCCAATACATTCTATAGCATAATCACTTTCTATTTCAAATCATTTCTGTTGCAACTGCTCTCACATTGTGTGACCAGTTGCATCTTTTCACTATCTAAAAAAATAAAAAACCTTGCTTTGCTCTCTCCCTTTTTTTTAGTACTTACTGCTAAATGCCACAAGTCCTTATGTGCTCTGTGTGGGTTGCCACTGACAACTGTTACTCAACTGTTACCGTGGCATTTATTATTCTGACTCTCGTGTCTCTCGTTGCAGGGTACTCTGAAGCAGAAGACGGTGGAGAACTTGGAGAAATATGTTGTGAGAGATGTAAGTAGTACTTGTATTTACATAGGAACACATTCTTGTTATAATCTGCTGGTTTGTAAAGATGCTTAAGTCTTTTTATTTTCCCTCCAGGGGAAGCTGTCTCTTCTCCTCAGCAGAATGAATGAAGTAGCCAAGGTTTTCTTGGCTACCAACAGCGACTACAAATACACAGAGGTGAGTAACGGTGTTTTCAAGGATTATGATGAACTGTGCGCTCCAAATCTCTCTGTTAGGCTGTTGTATCTACTCTAAACACTGCTGTGTGTGTTGTGTTCTTTCAGAAAATCATGACCTACCTGTTTGACTTCCCCCACGGCCCCAAGGTAAAACATTGCCCCCCCCCCTGTTCTTCACACTTTTTAATGTGTTGAACATGCAGGTGAAGGTGGAAGACACATTTGTTGCTCTTACCTACGCGTGGCTTTACATCCTGTGTGTGCGTTGGTTTTACAGCCTGGAACCTCCCACCGGCCCTGGCAGTCCTACTTCGATCTGATCCTGGTGGACGCCAGGAAGCCTCTGTTCTTCGGAGAGGGGACGGTGCTCAGACAGGTGGACACGGTGAGCAGACACAGACCTGAGACAGTGTTTATCGATGTGGAACGCAGAGAGTTATGGACACGTTGAAGCCTCTTTTCTAGAAATACATGACCTTTCTCAGACTAAAATTATAATATGTGTCACATTGTCTCCCATTTAGTCTGACATCTGACACTGCTTCTTGAAAAAACGGTTTTAAAGAATGGATTTCAAATTTGTTGTCTTGACATATAGTTCAAAAATACAGCACCCAGACAAAAGTAGACAACATCTAGATGCTCGTGCTCTTATTCAGCTTCACTCATGGTTCAGGTCAGAGTGGGGAAAGCTGAATTGATGTCACAAAAACAGTAATTGTCTCAAACACAAGCATGAGTCATTAGGCGCTTTCACACCGGAGTACTTTTCCCAGGAATAGTTCCGATAGTTCCTGGGATTTTGCGTTCACACCAAAAAGATCTGGAACTAGAACTTTTTTTCGGGAACCTTTTCACCCCTTTTCAGTCCCTGCTGGAGAGGTGGTACTTTCCTGGGGAGGAAAAGGTTCCAATTTCTGATTGGCTGGGCGAATTGCAAACCACGCCCCGTGAAACTCCGAAAAGTTTTGTGAAGCCGCCATTTTATTTGCTCGCATTAGCATTATTAGCATTATCATTAGCATGAATGACATGGGGAACAACTACAGAGTTTCTAGTTATGCACGAAAAAAGAAAACGTGTATTGATCCATCTTCAAATGTGTTAAGGTGTAAAATGTAGTTTTAGCATGTGGCTTTATTCTGGTCCATTTGAGTGTTTCACCTCTGTGATTGTGCGAAGGCCTTTCTAACCAATCGGATGTTGTGTTCTTTATTTCAGATAACAGGGCGTTTAAAGATTGGAACCTACACTGGACCTCTGCAGCACGGCATCGTCTACTCTGGAGGTCTGATTATTGTCTACCAGTCTTCCATTTTTTGACCTTGTGTTAGTTTTGTTAGATAGGCAAGGCAAGGCAAGTTTATTTATATAGCACCTTTCAACACAAGGCAATTCAAAGTGCTTTACAAAAATGAAAGACATTAAGAGAATTAAGAAATAGTGCAGAAGAAACACATTATAAAATGGGATTTGAAAACACTCATTTAAAAGCAAAGATAGATACAGGTATCTACAGGTACAGGTATTTTAAACTCCTTCTACTCCAGGTTCCTCGGACATTGTGTGCGACCTGCTGGGGGCCAAGGGGAAGGACATCGTGTACATCGGAGACCACATCTTCGGAGACATCCTCAAGTCCAAGAAGCGCCAAGGCTGGAGGACGTTCTTGGTGATCCCCGAGCTCGCCCAGGAGCTGCACGTGTGGACCGACAAGAGCTGTGAGTCTGAAGGCAAACACGTAAACACGGGCCCTAACACACGTGTGTAGTGACATATAGAAATACTAGCTTGACCGCATATACTAGAGATGCCCCGAAATATCAGCTGCTGAGCGGATTTGGACAATGTTCAGTGTCAAATTGACATACATGCACAATCGTTTACATCATGCACATAGAGATACTATGGCCTGTAAAAAAGCCACAAGCCACATTTTTAGCAAAAATATCATATTGTAAATCATATAAAGTAACCGTAGTGACTGGCTCTTCTGCCAACAGCGGGGGGTCTCTCCCCCTCATCTTGCTGTGTGTGCAGTCAGTGGGTGTGGGGCAGGCAGAAGGACAACGCTTGCTGCAGGAGTGGGAGTTAATATAATTTAATAAACACCTTTTCATTCTTTTAAATGAATTATACCATTTCTTTTACATATTTTTAAATGTATAACATATGTCTCTTTGTGTATTTCTTGTGTCTTATGTATTATTGTGAGCACACAGATTTTTTCCAAAAATTACATAAATATTCATGTTGTAAATAATATTGTGTAGGAAGAAGAAAACCAAGTCAGAATGTCCCACTTGAAAGACATTTTATCAGACAAGAAAAGTGAGCCGGTGCACCTCTAGTAGGTATATGTGTATGTATCTGAATTTAGACTGGTTTCCCAGTACTGCAGTCCTAGTGGCATAGAAACCGTCTCAGCAGGGATGTGACCTAGAACAGCAGCCGCAATGTCAGACCTGTTAACTCAGAAAAACACTCTAAGTAAATACGCTAAATGTGATAAAGATCATGAGACCAGAAGGTACAAAGTCAAAACACTGCCTCCTGAACGCTTCATTGATACACTGATACTAGAACCCTGTTTTCACACTCTTCCTGTGTTTTTCAGCGTTATTCGAGGAACTGCAGGGCCTGGACATTTTCTTGGCAGAACTCTATAAGTAAGAACTCCGACCTTTGACCTCTTCACGTGACTTACATCAGTTTTCTGTTTGAGGGAGAACAACAGGTTCGACAGAGTAAAGTCGAAAGGGTCGACTCTATCCTGATAAGCGGGGTTCACTGATGTTATTTTTAACTTGGCACGACTTGTCGTTGCATCAACTCTGTGACAGATTACCTTTCAGCAGACATATTTATACCCCCCACCCCCCCTCCTCCTCTCATCATCTCACTGTCTTGCTCTCGTCCTTCCTCAGACATCTGGACAGCAGCAGTAATGAGAGGCCGGACATCAGCACTATTCAGAGAAGAGTCAAGGTACGGCCTTAATCACCCCTGTTTCTATGACAACAGGAGACCTTTCCACATGCCGCCCGGAAACGGCTTAGTTATCAATGCCCGCATTTACAATGTGTATGATACCGTTTATGAGCCTACTATTGGTGAATCATTAACATTGAGTCACTACGGTCTTATCAATGAACAACCACACCTATATTTCTGATAAAGATACTACACTTAATTTTTTTGACTTATTTACATTTCTTATATTATCTTTTATGTTATCCTTTTATGGCACATTCTTACTTTTTATGTTATTATAAATATTTTAACCAATTTCAACTGGCGTAAAAAACTGATTCTGATTTTAAATTTGTTTTTATTGTACCTTTTTATAAAAAGTATTTCTGAGCCAGTTGAGCCTTTATCAGAGAGATATATATGAATGGGGGGGGATCAAGGGTCTCGCCTATAGGGACCCCAGGCCCTATTCAAACCTCTGCAAATGGGACCCCAGCTCTACTAAGTGAGCTGTGCAGCCCTAATGAATCATTTGTGGGTCAAAGTTATTTTTGACGACTCACCCGCGTCTTCTCTTCTGCTTTGTCTCTTTTAGAAAGTGACCCACGACATGGACATGTGTTACGGCATGATGGGCAGTCTGTTCCGCAGCGGCTCCAGACAGACACTGTTTGCCTCCCAGGTGATGCGTTACGCCGACCTGTACGCCGCCTCCTTCATCAACCTGCTGTACTACCCCTTCAGCTACCTCTTCAGAGCCGCTCACGTGCTGGTGAGTGTCTGTGTGGAAATGAAAAAGTACTGTTATGAAGGACCTCGAATGAGAGAGAAGGAAAACACAAGTGTCAGAAAAGGGCTTTCCTTCCCCAGTCACCAAACATAAGTCTCAAGATTAAAAATGCATTTTAGGAAAATGATACACAAGTATGTTCAGATCACAATAACTGAAACAAGGGCGGGATCAACTGCAAAAGTTGTGGGTAATGGTAAACAAATAAACAAACAGTCAAAAAGACATTTACTAAATATTGCCTCTAGGATACAGCAGACACAGGATGAGACGAGTATAAAACTAAATGCTAGTTCCGCCCTACAGCTTCAGCGCTATCTCTAACTAAAAGTAGGTTATCATATCCTGTTACACAGATACCCACAAGGCTCATAAGTAGGGCACTAGGTCTCATTTAACAGGTCTTTGAACTTACCCTGTGTGTGAATCTGGCCATCAGCCCTGAGTGACACAGGCAGTAGAGGAGTGTGAATACTTTAACATCAAAAATCATATTTCATCTCAAAATAAACGTGTGAGTTTGTGGCAGTGTTACACATGTACATGTTTCAATGATTGAAGCATTTTCTATGCATGTAAATGAGTAGAAAGAACGTAGAAAAGCATCAAAATAAATCTTGGTTATTAAAAAATCCCCCTGGATCCCCCGACAGAGGTAACTCAAATGTACGTTGTTAATGCTATATCGCTCTGGAGGGCCGGTGCCTTGCTCAAGGGCACCACGGCAGGGCCCAGGAGGTGAACTGGGACCTCTCCAAGTAGCAGTCCACACTCCATATTTAGATCTATTCGGGGACTTGAACCGGCGACCCTACAGCTCACAGTCCAAGCCCCTACTGACTGAGCCACTGCCGGACTTCTTTTCTTCTTGTTTTTTGAAATAGGGAGTTATGCTTGTAATTAATCAGCAAGATCAATAAACTGTTCTGTTAAACACTCTTTTTATTCCCCTCACATTTCTACTTCCTCCTCCCCAGATGCCTCACGAGTCGACGGTGGAACACGCCCACGTGGACATCGACATGGAGTCGCCGCTGGCAACGCGCAACCGCACCCACTGCAGCGACTGCAAGGACCTGGAGTGCAAACGCAGCCAGCTGACCCGCTCCTTCAGCGAGATCAAACCCCCCAACCTGTTCCCCCAGACTCCTCAGGAGATCACTCATTGCCACGACGAGGATGATGATGAGGAGGAGGAAGAAGAAGAAGAGGAGGAGGAGGAGGAGGAGGAGGAGGAGGAGGAGGAGGAGGAGGAGGAGGAGGAATAGGCTGGACATGGAGATGAAAGGCACTTCCTGCTCCTTCCTTTTCATGTTCCCAGTAGAGTTGGGTAGTTGTCTCTCAAAGTGAGGCATCTCCAGTGTGTGTGTGTGTGTGTATATATCAATACTGTATGCACACACACACACAAACACACACACACACACACACTGGAGATTCCTGAGGAAAGTAAAAACGGACCAGTAGCAAACAGATCATATGACTGTCAGAAGACTGTATGCATGCTCGGTCCTCAAAAAGCTCACTTTTCCTAGCTTCCTTCCTATATAAAAAAGAAACACTTTATGATTTTTTTTAATGAACTTAATTATATTTCTGTTTTATTTTCCCCGTCAGACTTAAAGAACATCCCATACTGTTTTTATAATCTGACTTTAAAGGCCTGCTGGTGAATGAAGTAGATTGCGTAGATTCCTAACATATTGTTCGATAACAGAAAAAAAACACTGCTCGGCTTCAGTGTAAAAACAAAAGATGCACACTGTATTAAAACACTTTCTTTTTCTTTTTATGCAACATGGGAACAATGTTCAGTGTGCCACCTGTTTAGTTTCTTTTTGTCTCTTTCACTAGTACTTTGTTTTGAACCTTGTGTGTGTGTTTCTGTGTTTGTGTCTCACTCAGAGCGCAGCATCCTGAGTGACGGTAAGCTAAGAATGCCTCGTACTAAACTGAAGCACAAGCTGGCGTTAAACAGATGCTTTTATTTTTGGTTGAGAGAAAACACGATATTTTGTTACCAAGCAACAATAAGGACGGAGTTCTGTACATGTGTATTATGCCTGCCGCAGTGTTGCTGGAAATAGCAAGCGAGCGGTTTAATGCCACCAGCTGTTAACATGCAGTATTTCTTCTGCACAGTTAATTTGAAGATTGCCTTTTGAAAGGGTAGATGTTGCAGTCCAAGCTGATTTAGAGATGTGATCTGTCCAGTGTGTAGTGTGAAAGTGGCCTTAGTATGCAAGGAAATAAGGTGTTTTCAGGATGTATAGTATACAGATAACTTTAGATAGACTGTGACTGTCTTTCTCTTTGGTTTTGGGGCTTTGTTGGGTAACATCTGCTGTGTATCTAACAGTTTTGTATAGTATTCTCCTGTGCAGCCTCTAAACACTGTGAAGTGACTATATGCTAATTCTAGCTCTGTTAGCAGTTGAAAACTAGATGATGATCTCTGAGTTTAAGCGCTTGACTTCACATTTGCATGGCTAAAACGGCAACTCGATAGTTATCAAGATATATAAATCGTTCGGTTTCTTTATGAAGAGTTAAACTCTGAAAAAGCTCATCAGGTCGTTGTGGTAAGACTTTATTGACAGTACATTCTTTTCCATCCATCCATTTTTTTACTTGGCAAAAAAGGATTGGAAACGCCAGGAGTTTGAAGACATGACAAGACATTTTTGTATGCCTGTGTGAGGTGGATAGCACCAGCAAAGTGGGACAAGTGCAATGGAAGCAGTCTTTTTTTAATGAGTTTTTAAATATAATAACTTGTTGCATGCTCCTCTTCTGCAATGACACCACCAACGGTTTGATTCAACTCCTAATATATGCAGAACAGCCGTGTATGTAAACTAGCATGTTCAGAAATGTGCATTAGCCAACTTACTGTCATTAGATTTTGATTTATATGTTCCTAAATTCTGATTGGCTAACAGAAGTGACATCACCTGTTTTAAACAGAGCCCCGCCCACTTCAAATACTGGGAAGAGCACAGAGACCAGCAGAAACTCCGATATCTGTTGTGTGAAACAACACAAGCTGTTTTCGTCAGTCAAAAGAGAGTTCATGTAAAGACCCCAACACCAATGACAATATCTTTTTTGATCCTTTATTGTTCATTTGTGTTCTTTAAAAACGTCCAAATGCATCAGTGTTGCAGAACACCAAGAGAACTGCCTGATTCTTTTAAAACACATTTATTTTATTTTAACCATTGTATCCTGTATGTTAACGTTCCTCACCTTTTTATATTTAGTCTCTACATGCTGTATTGATACTGTAAGTGTTGGAGCGGCTTGTTGATTGAGGCAACACAAGGGAAGAAACATGCCGTCTACTTTTTGCATAATTTCTTTGGTTTGGCTTGATCTGCTGTGGAGACAGGTGCATTTGTTTAACTGCTACTCAATGGAAGAAAAGCTTGTAGGACATTCTCTTTTATTCTTTTATATTTCCTCCTTTTTCTTTACAAATGAATAATTTGTATCTTCATTTTGATTTGTTAACATAGAATAACTGGATATGCTACACCAGGCAGCTGCACTGCTAATAGGAAGTAGTCTTTTCTTTGCATATTTTGCATATGCATGTGAAAGTAACAAACATATCTGCTCTGCTGAGGCGGTGGTTATGGTAGCGTCTTGTTGGAATTCTATGTGGACCGTTATAGGAAAGCTATTTTTTTCATTTGTCATTGTAGTTTACACGGAGAGAAAAAACGACAAACCTGTAAATTAAAAGAAGAAAAACGTACATGAGGGGACTGTAACAGATGTGACTTGTTATCAATACCATGGGGTTCTTTTTATTTTTATAAGCTAGTGTTTTTAAATGGCCCTGGTTTACAGAACTGTAAATAGACCTTTCCATTTTCTTTTTCTTACCTTTTTACCTGACTTAATCCTGGCAAATATGCCCTAATGCATCAACATTAACAGGTGCCACTCACCTTTCATTTTCTAAACTATCTTTTGTTTTTATGCATATCACTTCATGTTTTCCCGAACAGTGTTTTGTTTGTTTGTTTCCAGAAATTATCCTACAGACTGTACATTGAGGTAAATTACATAAAAATGTAGAATAAAGATAGTTTTTCATAATTTTCTTGTTTGTTTTTTTTACTACTGTGATATTATTTACCTCAGGTTCACCTTGTGTCAGGTTGTTTTTACACAAAGGGGCCCTATTATGTTTACTTTCAGGTTCATATTTGTATTTAGTGCCTCTACTGTGACATGTCTCCATGCTTTAATGTTCAATTACATGTCATGCACAAAAACCTTAACAACACACTAAAGGGAAACTCCCAAAAAGCATAATAGGGCCTCTTTAATTGCTGATAGCTTTGTTAATAACAATTAAATAAAAAAGTGGAATGTATTCAAGTACACAAAACCTCTTATGGGTGGCCAAGCCTTTTTTGATTGTGGGCCATACATACAAAAAATTGCAGTCACGGGCGAACAAAAGTAACTGCATAGTTTTCAACCAGTTCTTGATCATTGTTTCTAGACCATAACACCTAAATATTCAGATGTAACTATCAAACAGGCATGGTCAAATGGGTTTGTGCCAATCGGAAGACTTCACAAAATGTAGTTGACATCTAGTGTTTGAACTAGGATGTGCAATGTACATCGATACCACAACTTATTATAAATATGCTGACCTGCACTGTATTACAGTGTATACAGTATTTAGTATATTCATTTGAGAAATGTTGAAAGAGTTAACATTTTGTAAATAGCAATGCTGTCCAAAATATTAATTTAGTATAGTATATTGTGTGATAAATATAAAAATGTAAATTGGATGGTAATCTACATGCGAAAAATATAAATATATATTGGTATACAAATCAACTGCTTATTGTGATACATGTCTTCACGATCAGAGGTTCAAACTCAAATACTGAATTTTTAGTTACTTAACTCGGGTTTTCCATTTCCATTTCACATGATTATCTTTACCTCTACTTCCTCATATTTTGGAAGCCAGTATTGTAATTCAAATTATTCAAATTCTAAATACAAAATTTAAATCAAATAAATGATGCTGTATTTTTATGGACTTAGTGATATATTTAATAATGAATTGGATATTCTAAATAGTAATTACTTTTATTGTTGGTAATGTTTATTTTATGCTGGTATTTATGTACACAACTAGCTTTTGCATGCCAGACTCTTGTATTTTTACACTGTAGTATTGTTGCTTTTAACTAAGTAAAACAGAATATAAACAGCATTTTGAGTTAACAAGGTACAAATGAACAAGATCTATCAGTAGACCAACACATATCCATAGCTAATACATCATTAATGGAAAATTAATTAACAGCTCATTTTGACCCTGAGGTTGATCGTCATCATGGATCTAGAAAGAGTAGAAACAGTAAAGAAGACAAAGGGGTGGAGGCTGTAGAAAGTTCTACAATGTAATGTTTCCATTGGCGTAAGACTTATGCAATGCCTGATGGCAGACGTGCATGTCATGGTGGTTCACACACGCAAGAATAAGTTCAAGGGCAGTAAATACAAACCGCTGTAACTCAATACACATTCATGTTGCGCAGCCAAACGCTGTTCAAACCCTAAGAATCGTTCCTCTATTTACCAGCTGGGTCTGAACGCTGGTGGTGTTTTCACTTTGTGAGTCTGTGTCATCATGGCAAATTGTGCGAGAACTACCACAGTGGTGGAAAATAACTAAATGCATTTACTCAAGTATTATACTCAAGTAAACTTTTGAACTACTTGGACTTGAGTATTTTCATTTTCTGCTATATTTGAAAGGCACAGGTTATGTTTACTCCACTGCATTAATTTTATAACTGCAGATTCATAATAATAATACATCAAATACATATAACAAATCAATTATGATGTAATGCAGATTAAGATACAACTTGTATCTATTGGGGTAATATTATACCAACAAAATAAGTATGAAAAGTAATTCAAAGATCTCCAACTCTTCACTTCAGTGCATAATGATTATAATGTAGTAATATAATTCACATTATTCTTTATAGGGAGTACTTTTAGTATATTTTTAGGCCAATACTATTATACATGAGTAAAAATGTGACTTTCCAAGTCTTGAAGTGAGACTATTTGGTTAAAAGTAGCCACTTTAGTCACAATTACAGGATAGTACTATGCTGTAAAGTAGTATACAGCAGTAGCAAAAAGCATTCAAGTCAGCAAAGCGACCACAGGGTCTGTCACAAAGCAATATCCAGCTAAAGTTTGATTAGGGGTGCATTTTATTGCCCATGAACTTCACTTAGAATTGCTAATCTTGTACAATACTACAAAGTGTTTGTACATTTCTAAAGCGTACCAATAAAAAACCTGATAAGAGAACATTCAGAAGCAGCAGAGCTTTTAAATCGAGGACATTAAGCCACTGTCTGTCTGTTAATCATTCACTTTTTTATTAAACCACCAGCTGCAGGAGGCAATGGGAATGTTGTCGTCAGGTAGAAGAAGCATTATGGACAGCACATGGGTACAGAAGTAGCAGCATTGGGATGGACAAAAGACCAGTTAAACATAGGCCGGCAAAGCATTCACATAATGGACGGATAATAATCTTGTGTTCAGCAGAGGATGGGAGGAAAAGAAGATAAAACGTGTGTATAACAGAATATTCAGTCACAGGTGATGCTTCTCCCCAGTGTTTCCTGTTGTGCGTTTTTTTAATTGTCTCCATGCTTCTTGTTATCCTGTCAGGCACTGAGTCTGTAAAGCACAATGTCACAATCTGATCTCATTCATTGCTGTATCTCCGGAGTGATTGTCCCAGCAGAGCAGGAGCGGCCCGCTGCATAGGAGCACTTTCAAGTAAACAATAAACAACACAGCTGCAAACAATGCAGACGTACTCTATTTCTGGTTATGCAACCGAGACGACCCTCGTAGCCAAGCAGATGATGGGGCTGTTTGTCCATGTGTGCTGTGTTCAGGGGCTGTTACAGACACATTGGATTACATGTGGAAACAGCGACCACCAGTGGATTCAAACTGCAACTGAATATTTAAAATAATTCAGCTTTGAGGACACTGTTTGCCTGTAAGGTGGCCAGAAAACTGCCAACCAACAGTTATGTTAATGAACAGGCCTGAAAGTGGAATTAAAGTAATTTTTGTTAGAGAGTTAAAAATCTACGCCTCTACAGATATTAAGTAAACTGAATGTACTCTACATTAAGACATAATGTACTTTTAGGAAACATTTCAAGCACAAATAGCCTACAGTATCTTATCACTCATTCCTGTCTTTATGGGGTAAAACAATTAGGGCAAGAAAGTACAAAAGAAAGAAAATACTAATAACATAAAAAATACTTTAAGGAATAGTTTGACATTTACACTTATTTACTTTTTTGCCAAGAATTCCGTGAGAAGATTGAGACCACGTATGCCTATGCTAAATTTGAAGCTGGAGCAAGGAGTGTTAGCTTAGTTTAGCATGTAGACTAAAGATTATTAATTACTACTCCAGGAGGGATGTGATAGTCCAAGAAAAAAGTTGTTGAAGGCTAAGGAGAAATTAATAGGCTTCATATATGGTAGAGTAGTAGAGTGTGTTTTTTATTAGCTTGTGGGCAGAGCCAGGCTTGCTGGCTAGCTGTTTCCAGTTGTTATGCTAGGCTAAGCTAACCGACTGTAGCTTCATATTTGAACAGAAAGAAATGGTGGTATCAATCTTCTTGTCTAATTCTCAAAAAGAAGACATTTTAGTGTATTTCCCACAATGTCAAACTATTCCTTGATTGTGTGTTCTTTAAAGTGTGAAAGAAACAAACATATATGGGTAGGCCTACAGTGTTTCTAAGATAAAATGAAATCAATATAAATATATCTCTTTAATAGCAGCCAACATTTGTGAAGAATATACTTAAAACGTCAAACTGAATTAAATCAGGAATTATTAAACATGGATTAAAATCCACAATGTGTGGGGAGCCAAAACAAGGAAAGTCTAGTCTCTTTCACATTCACTCCTGTCAACAGCCTTTATCAACTAAACCAAAGGGCTATGTTTTGTAGACACACAAAAAAGCACATTCACACACATAAACAGTGGAAAAGCATAGCTTTGTATCATTCATGGACATGTTTAATGTCGAGGTTACTTTTTGTGACGTTGATGATGCTCAACATGTTAGATGAGGTCATTAATACTGTGCAATTATCAAGCTTGATTATGCGTAAAATTGGCAAAAAAAAAGACACAACCTTCCCACAAATAGGTGCCGTGTTGGCACTTTCACACCCTATCCGTTTCCCCCCCCCCTCCCCATTTCATTACACTGTGGTGAATAGTGTCGGCATCATTAATCCCATATGAACGTGAGGTCAAAGGATGCAGAAACATGAAAGAGACGAGGAGAAAGAGAGACTGACTAGGACAAATTTGCTTGTGGATGGCTGCAGTTTAGCATTTTTCAAAAAACAAATATACATACAGTACATACAAATATATCTGTCAATTTATAATACAGTGATTTTTTAAAAATTCATAATCATCTCTTAAATAAATTGCTTTTCATTGCACTTTGTTAAAATAATTAATTATATGATTTCTCTTAAAGGCAATAGTGTGATTTTTTTAAAGGTGAAAAAGATAGTGTACCATAAGCCTGATTTAGGATAATAGTAAAAATAACAAGATCTGTAATATACATACTGTATCTGTAAAAGACCCTCACCTCCTCATTTACATGAATGGATGTTCGTCTCCATATATGTAGCATGTCCTTTTTGATATGACACGTGCGCCCCTGCGCACACCTTTGTGTACATGCTTGTGCATGCTCTTATGCCAGTTTATGTCATATCATGTCTCCACGCGTACATATATACATACAATATTATAAAATAAATAAATACAGGATAACATTCTTGGTTCGTGGTTTTTAACGGTTTTCCTTCAAAGCGGTTTTTGGTGCAGTCTTTGACCAATCTCTGCTTGTTTGGGTTTGAGTCCTTGCTGATGGGATCAACAGTCGACTGAGCCTCCCTGAAAGATGCACGGGTGGGGGAGTTGCATTTGTGTGTGTTTGGGGATTGTAACTGTTTGAATACGTGTG